TTTTTTCTAGTCTAATTAGAGATTTCTAGCCTAATTTTCAAGAAGTGTTATTTGTATTTCATTTCTAGTTTTTTTTCTATTCTTATTAGCGATTTCTAGCCTAACAAAAATCGCTTAGTTTATTTCTTTTTTTCTAGTCTAATTAGAGATTTCTAGCCTAATTCTAAAAAGTTTTATTTTTAGTTTATTTCTTTTTTCTAGTCTAATTAGGGATTTCTAGCCTAATTTTCAAGAAGTGTTATTTGAATTTCATTTCTAGTTTTTTTCTATTCTTATTAACGATTTCTAGCCTAACAAAAATCACTTTTTTTTTTTTTTAATTGTAGTTTATTTCTAGTCTTATTAATGATTTCAAACGATTTTAAGCCTAATTAAAACAATTTTTTTTGGTTTATTTTTAGTTTCATTTGATTTTTCAAAAAAGAAAATGTGTGTGATTTCTAGTTTACTTCTAGTCTATGTAGAGATTTCTATAAGTTATTTCTAGCCTAATTTACCAAAATGTGTTTTTTTTCCGAGTTTATTTCTAATTAGGGATTTCTAGCCTAATTTTAAAGTTTTATTTTTATTTTTTTAAATTAGGGATTAGTTAGTTTTTAGCCTAATAAAAAAAAAACTCTATATGTGGGGAAAATCAAGAACATGTTATAAATTTTTATGAAAATTAAAATTTTAGTTTTAATTAAAAATATGATTTACATTTTAAAAATGTTTTATACCGTACATAATATGCAGCTTTTCAGTTATGCCAACCTCCAACATTTTTTTATCTAGTAGAAACTGAGTAAAAAAAAAAAGAATTCCTTAACCCTAATCTAGTAAACTAAACGAATAGAAAAAAAGTGTAAATTAATTGGTCAAAACCCTGAAAAACATTCAGCTCTTAAAATGGGATTCCTGAAATGTAATTATTTAAGTTATTTTAGTTTCTCGTAAACTACCAGAGGAAGCTGTAAGCCTAACCTATTTTTCTGGACAGCAGAGTCTCTGAAGAAGCTCTGAGAAGCTGTACTCTGGTGTTAGTGATCAGTGATCGTCGGTGTGTCTGTGCTCAGGCGCTGACGCTGCTGGACTATCTGGCTAAGACGTTAATGTGTGTGTGTGTGTGTAAAAATGTTTAGGATGTCACTCCCAGACTATTTATTAGTTATTTTTTGTCTGAAAGTGATATTCCCATATTCATCATAGGTAATAATAAAGCGATGCGATTAGTGGTTTTCTTTGCACTGACGAGTCTCATCACAGCTGCTGCTGCCATGTGCTCGAGTGTTTGTAGTCTAATGAGGCCGTGGCACACACACACACACACACTGACAGTATAATCAAATCTGTAGTGAGATGATGATGATGATGATGGATTATGATGGTATTAGAGCCCCTCAGAGCAACATCAATCATATGTATCTCACACAAATATAAAGATGAATGATCTGTCTGTCCGTCAGCATCCTCCTCGTCTCCCCGAGCGTCTGATCTGGAGCAAACTCGACCGCAGACGAGCGGAGAAGAAGAGCTGCAGCTGCAGCTGGCGCTGGCCATGAGCAGAGAGGTACATACACGCATTCAAACATACTCCTTTTTATTTCATATTATGCATTTTATTATTTATATTTTATGTAAGCAATAAGGTGCTCGAGGCCATGCTGTATCGTGAATAAATCACGGCTGAAGGGCGTTGTTAGGCACGACTCGAAGCGGAGTCACTGCATAGTGGTTTTCTTTGCACTGACGAGTCTCATCACAGCTGCTGCTGCCATGTGCTCGAGTGTTTGTAGTCTAATGAGGCCGTGGCACACACACACACACACACTGACAGTATAATCAAATCTGTAGTGAGATGATGATGATGATGATGATGGTATTAGAGCCCCTCAGAGCAACATCAATCATATGTATCTCACACATATATAAAGATGAATGATCTTTCTGTCCGTCAGCATCCTCCTCGTCTCCCCGAGCGTCTGATCTGGAGCAAACTCGACCGCAGACGAGCGGAGAAGAAGAGCTGCAGCTGCAGCTGGCGCTGGCCATGAGCAGAGAGGTACATACACGCATTCAAACATACTCCTTTTTATTTCATATTATGCATTTTATTATTTATATTTTATGTAAGCAATAAGGTGCTCGAGGCCATGCTGTATCGTGAATAAATCACGGCTGAAGGGCGTTGTTAGGCACGACTCGAAGCGGAGTCACTGCATCCCCTTCAGCTGTGATTTATTCATGATACAGCACGGCCTCGAGCACCTTATTGCTTTTATAAAACGGTTACCACACAATAAAAAAATATGAAAACCAAAAATGTATGTATTGAAATGATATTTTTTGAAGCAAGTTCGTTAAATGCTGTCCTTCCACTAAAAAATAGTTCCTGACAGCAACAGTAAACGGCAAGAGAATGTCCCGAACATGCCTCATCTAATGGAGCTTAAATAAAAACAGAGAATAGGAGCTCTTATCTGCTGTGTCATCTATTTTTTTAACACCATATATGATATTTTCTCACACACATACATCTGCTTATCTCTCAGCATGAGAAAACGTCTGTTTTCCGTCTTTTAGTTTTAAAACAGACCGAGAGTTAGTTATTTTTTGTCTGAAAGTGATATTCCCATATTCATCATAGGTAATAATAAAGCGATGCGATTAGTGGTTTTCTTTGCATTGACGAGTCTCATCACAGCTGCTGCTGCCATGTGCTCGAGTGTTTGTAGTCTAATGAGGCCGTGGCACACACACACACACACACACACTGACAGTATAATCAAATCTGTAGTGAGATGATGATGATGATGATGGATTATGATGGTATTAGAGCCCCTCAGAGCAACATCAATCATATGTATCTCACACAAATATAAAGATGAATGATCTGTCTGTCCGTCAGCATCCTCCTCGTCTCCCCGAGCGTCTGATCTGGAGCAAACTCGACCGCAGACGAGCGGAGAAGAAGAGCTGCAGCTGCAGCTGGCGCTGGCCATGAGCAGAGAGGTACATACACGCATTCAAACATACTCCTTTTTATTTCATATTATGCATTTTATTATTTATATTTTATGTAAGCAATAAGGTGCTCGAGGCCATGCTGTATCGTGAATAAATCACGGCTGAAGGGCGTTGTTAGGCACGACTCGAAGCGGAGTCACTGCATCCCCTTCAGCTGTGATTTATTCATGATACAGCACGGCCTCGAGCACCTTATTGCTTTTATAAAACGGTTACCACACAATAAAAAAATATGAAAACCAAAAATGTATGTATTGAAATGATATTTTTTGAAGCAAGTTCGTTAAATGCTGTCCTTCCACTAAAAAATAGTTCCTGACAGCAACAGTAAACGGCAAGAGAATGTCCCGAACATGCCTCATCTAATGGAGCTTAAATAAAAACAGAGAATAGGAGCTCTTATCTGCTGTGTCATCTATTTTTTTAACACCATATATGATATTTTCTCACACACATACATCTGCTTATCTCTCAGCATGAGAAAACGTCTGTTTTCCGTCTTTTAGTTTTAAAACAGACCGAGAGTTTGCAAGCCTCATTACAGTGTAAACTGTACATATGGACATAGCTACAGAATCATACCTGAAACAGAAAACTAATAAATACAGTAACAGTAATATTCCCTCCTCATTTCGAAAACTGTAGGCTTCCACACAGACACGCGCACACATCAACACATCTCCGCATGAGAACCGGTTATTATACGGGGGAAGGGCGGGGTCTCAAAATTAAAGGTCCTTGAAACACGCAGCATTATTCTATATGGTGACGTCATTTCAACTGAAACAGGAAGAGAGGGCGGGACATATCGAGCAGCCCCGCCCCCTTTTAAAAATAGCCAATAGCGTTTTGTTTATATCTGCTCGGGCCAGAGCCGTTGAGCTCAGTAAAGCCGCATTTGACAGCCACAGTCTAATAGATTACCCCCTAGATTCAAAATGAAACTCTTAGTAAAACAAAATAGTGATCATAATCATGCTGAGGCTGTGTAGTTGTAAAAGTGTTTAACCCTCATCCGTCCCTCCCGAACCTATAACAAAAGTGTCCCTCGCGGGTCAAAATGACCCGAAGGTCAAAAATGACACAAATTTTATTTTTGGTCAAGAAAGCTTATATTGGAACATTTTTATATATTTGTTTTTTCTACTTTTTTATGTAGGTTTTTCTATTATTTTTTGGTGATTTTTTTTATCATATTTACCTTTTATTCTGGATATTTTTAAGAAAACATAAGCAGTTTTTGTACATTATTTCACCAAAAAACAAAAACATAGAAAGACACAATTTCAGTACTGTTTCATCAAAAACCAACAGATGGCCTTGGAATTGAGTCACTGAGTGTTTCTGATGCCATCTGGTGGGGAAAAATTACATAAAATTGCATTTTATGGTTACAGCCACTAGAGGGGCCTATAGAACCCTATGGAGATTTTTAACTGAGCAAAACAAGTGAAACAGATAATCAACATACAGAAATTAGATCATCTAAAAGCTTCAATTTGGTTGTTTATGGATTAAAATATATATTGAAACATTACAAAGTTCATATTTTGTAAAAATAAATAAATAAAATCTAACTGAATTATAACCTAAACACGTATATTCATGCAATTTCATAAAAAATGAAATAAATATATAATATATTTTTAAATATATAAATATGATATAAACTAAATACAGTAACAGTAATATTCCCTCCTCATTTCGAAAACTGTAGGCTTCCACACAGACACGCGCACACATCAACACATCTCCGCATGAGAACCGGTTATTATACGGGGGAAGGGCGGGGTCTCAAAATTAAAGGTCCTTGAAACACGCAGCATTATTCTATATGGTGACGTCATTTCAACTGAAACAGGAAGAGAGGGCGGGACATATCGAGCAGCCCCGCCCCCTTTTAAAAATAGCCAATAGCGTTTTGTTTATATCTGCTCGGGCCAGAGCCGTTGAGCTCGGTAAAGCCGCATTTGACAGCCACAGTCTAATAGATTACCCCCTAGATTCAAAATGAAACTCTTAGTAAAACAAAATAGTGATCATAATCATGCTGAGGCTGTGTAGTTGTAAAAGTGTTTAACCCTCATCCGTCCCTCCCGAACCTATAACAAAAGTGTCCCTCGCGGGTCAAAATGACCCGAAGGTCAAAAATGACACAAATTTTATTTTTGGTCAAGAAAGCTTATATTGGAACATTTTTATATATTTGTTTTTTCTACTTTTTTATGTAGGTTTTTCTATTATTTTTTGGTGATTTTTTATCATATTTACCTTTTATTCTGTATATTTTTAAGAAAACATAAGCAGTTTTTGTACATTATTTCACCAAAAAACAAAAACATAGAAAGACACAATTTCAGTACTGTTTCATCAAAAAACAACAGATGGCCTTGGAATTGAGTCACTGAGTGTTTCTGATGCCATCTGGTGGGGAAAAATTACATAAAATTGCATTTTATGGTTACAGCCACTAGAGGGGCCTATAGAACCCTATGGAGATTTTTAACTGAGCAAAACAAGTGAAACAGATAATCAACATACAGAAATTAGATCATCTAAAAGCTTCAATGTTTTTGTACATTATTTCACCAAAAAACAAAAACATAGAAAGACACAATTTCAGTACTGTTTCATCAAAAACCAACAGATGGCCTTGGAATTGAGTCACTGAGTGTTTCTGATGCCATCTGGTGGGGAAAAATTACATAAAATTGCATTTTATGGTTACAGCCACTAGAGGGGCCTATAGAACCCTATGGAGATTTTTAACTGAGCAAAACAAGTGAAACAGATAATCAACATACAGAAATTAGATCATCTAAAAGCTTCAATTTGGTTGTTTATGGATTAAAATATATATTGAAACATTACAAAGTTCATATTTTGTAAAAATAAATAAATAAAATCTAACTGAATTATAACCTAAACACGTATATTCATGCAATTTCATAAAAAATGAAATAAATATATAATATATTTTTAAATATATAAATATGATATAAACTCATTTGGTCTCCACCACATCACTCAAATCTAACTGTGTTAAGTAAAAAAAAAAAAGGGAAAATGACAGTCATATCCCAGAAGAAACATGAAAAATATTACAATGTGTTCTATGAGAGTGTGTGTACCAAAACATAGAAAGACACAATTTCAGTACTGTTTCATCAAAAACCAACAGATGGCCTTGGAATTGAGTCACTGAGTGTTTCTGATGCCATCTGGTGGGGAAAAATTACATAAAATTGCATTTTATGGTTACAGCCACTAGAGGGGCCTATAGAACCCTATGGAGATTTTTAACTGAGCAAAACAAGTGAAACAGATAATCAACATACAGAAATTAGATCATCTAAAAGCTTCAATTTGGTTGTTTATGGATTAAAATATATATTGAAACATTACAAAGTTCACATTTTGTAAAAATAAATAAATAAAATCTAACTGAATTATAACCTAAACATGTAAATTCATGCAATTTCATAAAAAATGAAATAAATATATAATATATTTTTAAATATATAAATATGATATAAACTCATTTGGTCTCCACCACATCACTCAAATCTAACTGTGTTAAGTAAAAAAAAAAAGGAAAAATGACAGTCATATCACAGCAGAAACATGAAAAATATTACAATGTGTTCTATGAGAGTGTGTGTACCGTGTGTGTGTTGTGCATGTGTGTGTGCGTTAGGGGTTGAACTTTTATGTGATGAAAGTCGAGTCGAAGTCGACTAGTCGCTGATGACGTCATTAATGAACAAATAAGTCTGGAGCTGTGATAAACAGCTTGTGCACAGCTATGGCATATGACACAGCGCTGCCCACACGGCTATTGCTCCTATAACAGCTTTTTTATCAGTTCTTTTGTCTTTGGGTCGTTATATTTCTCACAGATTTCTGCTCGTTCTAAATCAGATACAGATGAAGTAGCACAGTAAAGATTACATTAATATGAATGCATTAGTGAGAGCGATTGCGTGTGTGAATTAATTCTACCTGGCAGCGTCTCTCTACTAGTAGTGAAGCTGTGGGATTTAGTTATTAAGAAATATATGCTTGAACTTTTCAGTTTCTAAGCTATTTTATTGAAAAAATCACAGAACAGTGTTGAAAATACTTTTCCGCGCTGAATGATTCTGTGCGCGTGATGTACGCGCTACTGTCTGTAGCCTATGTGTGTGCGTTACAGTGCAGCTGCGCATTAGATTATAATGGTGATTAACTTACCTGTACAATAAGCAGTTTAAACGTGCATTCTCCCATTCAATTTCGAGCATTCAGTAATATAATCACACATGTCTTGTGGAGCGCTTTCAGAATATGCATTTATTTGTCATTTAAACTGTTTGGAAACGGAGTGTAAATATGGAAGTCCTTCAAAGATTTCTTATCCTGTTGCACCCTCTATAGGACCAGCGACTAGTCGACGTCAAGCTTAAAGCGTCATGGCAGACCATTGAAGTTGACTAGTCGATTAGTCGGTGCAACCCCTAGTGTGCGTGTGTGCATGTGAGTTGTTTCTGCATTGGGGATATTCTGTAGTCTCAGCCCTTTGTTTGGGTATAAATCTTTACTGGATTGTCTCAGATTTTGTATATATAAAAAAATCAAATGTAATGAAAAATGCAGTTTTCTCGTAAATTCCATTCATTCCTGTGCGGGTCAAAATGACCCGCGAGGGACACTTTTGTTACTTTTTTTTAATACACCCATTTAAACGCCTTGAATCCACTCAAATCTGTTTTGTTTTATTCTCGGTGCAAGTGTAACAAAAGTAAAGAAATTTTTAGAATTAAAAGAAAAAAACTTTTTGGGTCAAAATGAACCGAGGGACGGATGAGGGTTTTAATATATGCTGATTCGCGCATATGATCCGCTCCGTGCGATTTTGTCTCTGGACCGGAGCCAAAGTCCGGATCAGACTGTGTGTGCTGCCGCGGTTCACGTGAAAGAACGTGAAACCAGACCTCATTTGCCCCAATCGAAAACATATTTACACTGTCTGAATCGTTCCCTATCACCTACATTGTGCACTTCGAGCCATTCACTGTACAGGAAATACTACACTGTGAACAAGCGACCGATCTCAGCCGCTTCAGCGTCTATTTATAGTGTAGTGTAACTTATAACTTTTATTATATTATGATATATGTTATTATATTACAATTATATTAGGTCATTGTTAGGTTTCTTAAAATATATATGCATTTTCAATTTTGATCTTACATATAGTTTACATTTACTTTATTTATCATTTTATAATTATTTCATTTATTATTAATATTTTATTATAGTACAATTGATAACATTTATTTTTTTAACATACTAACTTTAGGTTTGTTAACTGTAGTGTACAGTAATAATCCTGACACACTCTCTCTCTTCTTTACAGTAGACGGTTTCCTAAATGAACTGTAAATTATCCTGTGTGCCTTCAGTTTCTGTGGTGTTTGAGAGTGGTTTAATTCCCAGCATGCAGCAGCCGGAGCGTTTCTGTCTCTGAATCCCCATGACACGAGCCGGTCGAGTGTGTGTGTGCAACGCTCCATAAGCACAGAGTAGGAAACGTGAGAAGAAAGACGAGCAGGAGGAGTTTTGATGCTGTTTCAGGAATATTTGCGTTCCTACAGGATGCAGTGGAGGAGCAGAAACCGCACGCGCTGCTGAAAATAACCCTAATTAACCCAAATCCACCGCAGACACGCCCCTCCACAGCAGCCAATCACTGCCTGCCGCTCGCTGTGTCGCTCAGCTGTTGTCATGGAGACGCACCAGGACGTCCTGTAGCTCTGCGCAGGTATCCGAGGAACCGCCGTGTGTTTCAGGATTCTCACCCTGGACGCCTCAAACATTCAAACTATTAATTCGAAAGAAAAAAAAAAAAACGTGAACTGAAATTTTGTCCATATATAATATTACAATATGCATTATATTAAAATAAAAACCAAAAATAATGAATTATAATTAACAAATACTTTTTTTCCCCCTCAATAACTGTTGTTTCTAATTGAATAACAGAGTTCTTGAAATCAAGGGGGAAATATTTTTTATTAAATTAATAAAATCATATTAATATATTGAAACAGTCAAACTCCAAATTAAAATACAAAAAAACCCGCATAAAAACAGAAATGTATATTATGTAAATGTATAGTATTGCATATTAATCTAATATGCCATATTATAATATCATAATAAATATTATAATAGTATAATATAAAAAGTAAAAATATAAAACATAATTGTTTGTTAAATTATTATTTGTTAATTAATAATTATTTGTTTCATTATTGTTAATGTATTATAATAGTCTAACTCTAAATTAAAGTGCTAAAAAACACAATTAAAATTTAAACTAAAACGCATTTTATATACAATTATAACGTAAAAATATGTATCTGTCACGGTGTGTCTTGCTGGAAGCACATGGGATGCATGAATAAACTTTAACTGTCACAAACAACCGTAACTAACGAGTAGATCCGACAAAGGAACACAGAGCAAACAGGAACTTATACACACAAGATAATAAGGAACTCACCACAGGTGCAATGAATCATAAAGCAATCAAACTAAACAAGAACAGGAAAAAGACCATATAAGGAAACACAGGAAGAACTACGGGGGCAAAACGGGTCCAAAAGACTGACATAACTCCCCCCCTCCCGGAAGGACCATCCCGTGCCGTAATATATCCATCGGGGACGGGGGGTGTGCGCCCTGGAGGCTGGTACAGGATGGAGACACGGGAGGCCTCCAGGGCGGATCAAGGAGCTCAGGGGGCCATTGTGGAGCAGGGAGCTTTATAGCCTCCCCCCAAAAAAAGAGGCTCTAGAGGCCCTCCATGAGCCAGGCATTGGAGCAGGAGCCCTCCCTGGACGGTATTCGGGGACTGGAGCCCTCTTTGGTCTGGACACGGGGACTGGAGCCCTTTCTGGGTTAGACTCGGGGACTGGAGCTCTCTCTGGGCTAAACTCGGCGACTGGAACCCTCTCTGGGCTAAACTTGGGGACTGGAACCCTCTCTGGGCTAAACTCAAGGACTGTAGCCCTCTCTGGGCTGAACTCGGGATGTGGAGCCCAGAGTAGGCTAAACTCGGGAACAGGAGCCCACACGGGAGCGAGCTCTGGGGCTGGAGCCGACACTGGAGCGAGCTCTGGGGATGGAGCCCACACGGGAGCGAGCTCTGTGGATGGAGCCCACACGGGAGCGAGCTCTGGGGCTGGAGCCCGCACGGGAGCGAGCTCTGGGGCTGGAGCCCACACGGGAGCGAGCTCTGGGGCTGGGGCTAACACGGGAGCGAGCTCTGGGGATGGAGCTGACACTGGAGCGAGCTCTGGGGCTGGGGCTGGGGCTGATACTGGAGCGAGATCTGGGGATGGAGCCCACACGGGAGCGAGCTCTGGGGCTGGAGCCGACACTGGAGTGAGCTCTGGGGATGGAGCCCACACGGGAGTGAGCTCTGGGGCTGGAGCCGACACTGGAGCGAGGGCTGGGGCTAACACTGGAGTGAGCTCTGGGGCTGGGGCTGACACTGGAGCGAGCTCTGGGGCTGGGGCTGACACTGGAGCGAGCTCTGGGGATGGAGCCCACACTGGAGCGAGCTCTGGGGATGAAGCCCACACTGGAGCGAGCTCTGGGGATGGAGCTCACACGGGAGCGAGCTCTGGGGATGGAGCCCACACACGGGAGTGAGCTCTGGGGATGGAGCCCACACACGGGAGTGAGCTCTGGGGCTGGAGCCCCCCACACGGCGAACTTGACTCAGGAGCGGCCGGCAGGCTTGTGGGAGCCGCGGCGGGCGGACTTGACAACGGCATGGCCGGCGTTTCTAGGCTGAGGACAGAGATGGTGCTGGGAGGAGATGGGTGGTCGGAACATTTGGCCAGGTATGTGGAGGGTCCTGGCGAGGGGTGAGCTGGCGAGGCCCGGTGCTTCTCGGGAGGGCTTGGATGATGATCGCTCTGAACCTCTTCTACTTTGAGACTTACACCATTTAAATAAAGGACATGATTAACCAACTCGATCAGGGGAAAACTACGTGGGAAGATCGCAGCCAATTACGTCATCATCCAGCCCCAGCCAAAAACAGACACATAGAGCGGCGTCGAACCAGATCACCTGGTTGGAGAGCTCTAGGAACTCCTCTACTTACCTCTCCAACTCCCGACCACCCTGCCGCAGACACCAAAGCCTGTCTTCAGCTGCAGTCATCTTGTTTGGTCGGATCTTCTGTCACGTGTGTCTTGCTGGAAGCACGTGGGAGGCATGAATAAACTTTAATTGTCTTTAATGATGAAAACGCAGGGGAATAATCCAACATAGGAAAAGCACAAACACACGTAACTAACGAGTAGATCCGACAAAGGAACACAGAGCAAACAGGAACTTATATACACAGGATAATAAGGAACTCAACACAGGTGCAAGGAATCATAAAGCAATCAAACTAAACAAGAACAGGAAAAAGACCATATAAGGAAACACAGGAAGAACTACGGGGGCAAAACGGGTCCAAAAGACTGACAGTATCATTATAATATAATCAAAATAATAAATTATACAAAAAAATACTTCCCCCTCACAATAACTGTTTCTTTTAATTGAAGAGCATGCAGTTCTTGAAACTTCTCAAGTCACAAAATGAATCATAGTTGATTATTTTAATACAATATTACATAATATATCAATACTCCTAGTGTTCCTGTTAATAAAAAAGTTAGCCAATATCTAAATAAAAACAAGCCAATATGTTGGCCACCGTGGGCCCTTCAGTCAAAAAGCTTGAGAAGCACTGGATTAAACTATTAAGACGGATTTTTAACCTTTACAATTTCTATCTTTTTTTCGGTATTTTGCACGTTTTAACTTCTTTGTCTAGCTTGTACTAACTATTTCTTCTCTAATCTCTAGCGGTATTTCTCCTGCAGTGTTGTCTGTGGATGTCCTGTGAATGTCACGGAGCTTATTAACCTCCTGCTCTTTTCATCCTAATTAATCCTTGCACTAATGAACAGCATCGGCTTCAGCTTCAGGTGCTGAGCTTGTTTTGTCTCCTGAAGGAGCAGTGCAGCCATCAGGGGGACGACGCTCCTCTGCAGGAGGCCCTGGAGGAGAGTAAGGGCGAGCGAGACCCGCGGCCTTCAGAGGTGAGAGAGACACTCAACACCTGCATGATCTGCTGATCTTCAGAGCGGCTCACCGTTGATTTCCTCTCGCAGTCGGCCATGATCGATCTGGTGGATATATTCGGTCCCACGCCTGCCGCGCAGGTCAGCGACGACCCCTGGGACGCCCCGCCCACCTGCTCCGTGAACTCTGACCCCTGGGAGTCTGTCGGTCAGTGATGAGCGCTCTCAGTACTGTGAATCACAGTCCATCAGTTATAATAAGAGTTTGCGATGCCTCAACATCACTGCATATATCTTGCGGTCACAGTGCGAACACTTCTACAAATGATGATTTATTAGTATTTTGATAACCTTTTAACGTTAAACATTTTAACATTAATATTTAACATTGTTTCAGCGTTTTGATCAGTGTTCAAGCAACAACTGACATTATTTCAAACACGTTTCAACGTAGAATGTCAGTCAAGTAAAATGTACTTTAAAATGTACAACTTTCATGTATCAGTGTTTTGTTAACCCTTTAAATCTATTTAGCAATAAACATAGTTTTAATGTTTTTATCTACACTGAAACTGACATTATCTGAGATTATTTCCACCACATTTCAACGTAGACGGTTGGTCAAGTAAAATATCTAAAAATTATGTAAACTGTAAAACTAGAGAAAAAAAACTTTTTAATTAGTTTATTTAGTCTTTTTTGACTTCCCAGTCACAATTTCATCATTCATTCATGGGTTAATCAATGTTATAGATGTTGATTTGTTCTTAAAAAGTAAAAAGGTCAAAATAAGCGTATCCCAAAAATGTATTGTGTTTTAAGGATTTTTAGACTTTGTATTTGAGAAGTAAGACAAAAATACTTTTTGGCAGTGCACTGATGTTTTTTTTTTTTTTTTTCAAATAAACGTCTTATTTTTCATATAGATCTTGTTAAAATGTTGTTAGAAAGTTGATTCATCAATATTTTGTAAACCTTCTAAAACTATTTGCCATTAAATGTTGTTTCAACAAATTTGTATCAACATTGAAACAACAACTGACATTATTTCAACCGCATTTCGAACATTGGTCAAGTAAAAACTGCCGCGCAGGTCAGCGACGACCCCTGGGACGCCCCGCCCACCTGCTCCGTGAACTCTGACCCCTGGGAGTCTGTCGGTCAGTGATGAGCGCTCTCAGTACTGTGAATCACAGTCCATCAGTTATAATAAGAGTTTGCGATGCCTCAACATCACTGCATATATCTTGCGGTCACAGTGCGAACACTTCTACAAATGATGATTTATTAGTATTTTGATAACCTTTTAACGTTAAACATTTTAACATTAATATTTAACATTGTTTCAGCATTTTGATCAGTGTTCAAGCAACAACTGACATTATTTCAAACACGTTTCAACGTAGAATGTCAGTCAAGTAAAATGTACTTTAAAATGTACAACTTTCATGTATCAGTGTTTTGTTAACCCTTTAAATCTATTTAGCAATAAACATAGTTTTAATGTTTTTATCTACACTGAAACTGACATTATCTGAGATTATTTCCACCACATTTCAACGTAGACGGTTGGTCAAGTAAAATATCTAAAAATTATGTAAACTGTAAAACTAGAGAAAAAAAACTTTTTAATTAGTTTATTTAGTCTTTTTTGACTTCCCAGTCACAATTTCATCATTCATTCATGGGTTAATCAATGTTATAGATGTTGATTTGTTCTTAAAAAGTAAAAAGGTCAAAATAAGCGTATCCCAAAAATGTATTGTGTTTTAAGGATTTTTAGACTTTGTATTTGAGAAGTAAGACAAAAATACTTTTTGGCAGTGCACTGATGTTTTTTTTTTTTTTTTTCAAATAAACGTCTTATTTTTCATATAGATCTTGTTAAAATGTTGTTAGAAAGTTGATTCATCAATATTTTGTAAACCTTCTAAAACTATTTGCCATTAAATGTTGTTTCAACAAATTTGTATCAACATTGAAACAACAACTGACATTATTTCAACCGCATTTCGAACATTGGTCAAGTAAAAATATCTTTACATTATCTTGCGGTCACAGTGTGAGCGCTTCTTTAGGTTTTTTTATTTAAATGTAAAAAATGTTAAAATTTCAACATTGATTTATTAGTGTTTCGTTAACTGGTTTAAACTATTTAGCATTAAACGTTGTTTCTGCATTGTTTAAATATTTCTATAAACATTGAAATAGCAACTGACTGATTATTTGAACCACATTTCATGGTAGAACATAAAGATATCAAAAAAATACATTTTGTTTTGGGGGGGTTTTTCGATATTTTAACTCAACTGTAAGACAAAAATATTCAAGGATTCTTTGTGCGGATGTATTTTGATTTGGTTGTTTGATTCAGCTGTAGTTAAGTCTAGTAACCCGGTGACTGATAGTCCCTGGACGGCCCGCTCTTCCTCCAGTAGCCCCGCCCACCCATGGGGAACCCACCAATCACCTCCTGACCCCTGGGATGCCCCGCCTTCAAACTCCACCTCTAACATAGATGAAAAAGCTAGATGGAGGAGCCCAGCGCGACCAGGTACAACACCTCATGTTAAAAACCAAAGTGAGATGCATTTTGATTTGTAATTGTGACTTTTTATCTCAAACTCGCGAAAACTTTTTTCTCAGAATTGCGGGTTTATATCTTGACGTTATTATTTATTTGAAACTTGAAATTGCAAGAAGATAGGCACAATTTTTCACTTTAAATAAGTAAATATTTGTAGCGCTAGAGATCCATCTCCAGATTCATTGCACTTCATTCCAGTGTCGAGTGTGAAGGACCCATTTACTATTCCAGAGGAGGAGGAGCTTATAGTGGAGGGGGAGGAGCCTATAGTGGAGCAGGTGGAGCCAAACCAAGTGTTCAGTCCTCGCTGTGAGAGTCCTGCAGGTCCTCATCACACCAAACCAGACCCTCTTCACAATCGTTTTCCTCTCTGAGTCAAGCTGAAGCTCATTCACATCTCTCATTTCAGATGCCGATCAGTTCGGTGAGTTGGTGGCTGGTGTTCAAGTGAACGGACGGGGAAATGACAGTCCAGAGACCTTTGACCTCTCTCGTCTTGGGCCTCCTCTGGACGCAGTGAGCCCTAGACAGTGCCGGACCCCTGAGGCGTTCCTCGGCCCCACTGCTGCCTCCCTCGTCAACCTGGACACGCTCATTCCCACCAACCCACCGGTCAAGAGCAAAAACCCCTTCCTGTCAGGTAGGAAAACACACACTCAGACACGCTTATTATTTTGGGGAATTTATATTTTTCTTAAATGCTTTTGAAGCCAAATACTTTTATTTCAAACTGAGTACTCTTAAGCACTTACATTTCCAGTGCAAAATCACTCCTTACAATTTAATTTAGACCTTAAAAGAACAATTAGCATATTTTGCAGGTCATCATGACTTGCATTTTATATATAAAAAAAAGCTTTTTGAATGTCTTTTTTTATCAGATATAATACATAATATATTTTATTTGTTTTCTTAACGTTCACCTTTTCAGCATTGAGTAAATAGTGATAAAAAGAGTTGTTTTACAAAGTTGCTTTAATGAGAAAATCTACATTTTGTCAGTATATTTTAAAGAAGAACATTTTGTTTTAAA